GCAGCAGCAGCAGCAGCAGCAGCAGCAGCAGCAGCAGCCAGAGTCGCGCGAGCCGCGAGGTGAGCAATCAGATCCGCGCAAGTCATGCATCAGCAACGCACGAAATTCCTCCTGACTGACACTCACGAGTGCTCCCCTGCCCACGCCACTTCACCGCACACGCACGGCTTGATCGGCCTTTCGCTCGCGCGGACATGGCAGCAGCAGGCGCGCCCAAGTCGGTTCGGTCGGGCGAGCCGCTTGTCAGCTGATGGGGCTTGAGAGTCTGGAATATTCTTGCAAAGAGCTCCCACAACCGCGCGCGTGTTGTGTGGAGGTGAGCTTGCCACGCTTTCGCGACTGTCGAACTTTTTGGCTCAGAGCGCTTCGCTGCTGATGTCAGTCACGAGCGCTCCTGACTCACGAGCGCTTCGAGTCCAAAGTGTGAAGCCGTGTTCCCACGCAGTAGAAAATCATCGCGAATGAGAGAAGTCATCACGAGTTGCTGACGAAACCAAGCAGGCGGCAGACCCTAAGAAGAACCTCATGCAGAGGCAACAAACAAGATGCTGTTTGTTCATGTCCGGCGCCCTTCCTATGCTACATATGTGGGTCTGCGGAAGAGAGACTTCCGAGATCACGATTCTGAAATCACAATCAATCTGAGTGACTTAAGAGCTATGAGATTCACGGCCGCGATGTGCAACTCATCAGAATAATCCTGAACTTGGCTGGCACGGCGGGTCTTGAATCACTACCACGGGATCATGAATCAAATGTGAATCCGACCGACTTACGGATTGCAAAATCAATCATCAGAACAGAGGATCGCATGATACTCATGACTCAAAACTCAAGACTTGTCTTGTCGATCATGACCCAGCAGTCATTGAGTGACGAGTGAATCGAGAGCGTGAACGTGTGCCATAACGTCTGCAGCAGCTGACCTAATCGTGAGTTTTGAATCGTGAATCACAAATCTAATCAAATGATCGCGGATAGGGTGTGCGAGATCGGGGCAGCAAAGCAGTCACGTGCCTCGTTTGCATTCAACCGTGCACGCAACCACGAATTCTGAATCCAAAATGATTTGATGAATCTTAAGTAATCCTCATGAATCTGATGGCATCCATCCGGTTTCGCTTAAAACGCCACTTAAAGGGTATCATACCATCCTAGCTAGTCTGAGTCTTGGAGTCACAAGGGTGTGCCCAGCGACACGCACCCACGCTTTGCTTGTACTCAAACTCAAGACTCGTAGTCAAGGGTTAGCAGTCACGAGTGTTGAGGCGTGGGTTGCATGGCACTCTTCATTCACATCACTCTGACTCTCATGATGCAGTTGGCATGATTTCCTACACCTGTGCAGACGATCAGGTAAGCATGTGATCGATCATGCTGCTTTAAGGCCGATCTCTCCGCGCTGGATCACCTTGCTTGGATCGACATCAACACCAAGGTGCGTCGCCAATCTGCTCAAGCCGCACACAGTCGCCATTGTCTCATCAGCATCTGGCGGGATAGAAGAGGCACACAAACAGACCATCACCACCGAGAGGACCTGCTTCCTCCCTTTCCCCTTCTCAACCATTCTAGGAAGCAGTGTCTGTTGCCCAAAAAAGGCGTCAACAGCAAATCTTGCTTTGCCAGAATGTCCACTCCAAACCGGGCTGGTCCAAGTACGCTACGGCAAGATCCAGGAGACGTGGCAGCTCCCACGAGCGAGTCGCTAGTCCACACCCCTCTCATAGACCCATGGATTCGCAAGGTGGTGTTTCTGGGCACGGGCACCTCAGGTCAGATTCCTGCTGCCCCTTGCGTACTTCCCGGCTCGCAAGGGCCGCACGGAGAGAAACGATGCGATGCATGCGCGGATGCCATCAGACCGGGTAGCAGGAACCGAAGGGGCTGTTGCTCTGCCATGGTAATCGGCGTTGGATCGGACGGCGTGGAACAGTGAGTGCCAGGGCTTTGCGTGCGCCATTCCACCACGTTTGCACGTCTCGGTACTGATCACAGTGTTCGCACATCTTCATCTCCATCTTCAGCGTTATCCTCATCGACTGCGGACCAACATTCTACGAATCGGCATTGAGAGCATTTAGGCAGCACAAGCAGAGGCGAATCACTGCCCTGCTGCTGACCCACGCTCACGCAGACGCAATGCTAGGACTGGATGCGCTCAGGGCCTGGACGATGAGAGGTGCAATCCAGCATCATGTCGATGTTTATTGCACAAAAGAAGCGTTCGAAGGAGTTCGAAACACATTCCCTTATCTCATAGACGAAAGCAAAGCGACTGGTGAGTCATGATGTGCTGGGCATTCGTGGCGAGAGGAAACGAGCTCATGCTAAATCTGCTCTGCAACAGGCAGTGGCTCCGTGGGAGCTCTCAGGTTCCATCTCATCGACCCTGCTCGGCCATTCGAAGTCGACGCTGGCAAAGGGCCAATCAAGGATGTCTCAGGAAAAGCGCTCCTCGTAGAGCCTTTGCTCGTGGGGCATGGACTCACATCCGAGGGAGCTTCGTTCCCTTGCCTTGGATTCAGGATCGGCTCACTATCTTACATCAGCGACGTCTCGTCGATACCGCGAAGCACCAGATCGAAATTAAAAGGCACTCGCGTGCTAGTAATCGACTCTCTAAGCCCTAGGCGACATATCAGTCACTATAGCCTTGCTCAAGCAGTCGAGGAATCGCTTCGGGTAGCAGCCCTGAATGCGGACGGTGGACAAGATGGACGTCGACTCGAGCTCGCCCTGGTCACGGACCTAGCCCATGGACTCGAACATCACGCGACTGATCACGCATTGCTTTCGTTCGTAGCCGGCCTAAGAGTGCGTCATTCTCAACAGCACAGCAGAAAGAGGCCCGACCTCTCCTTGTCCGATGCAATCGCGCAAGAGCCGATCTCGGCTGGCGCCAAGCGAGCAGAGGAACGAGCGGACGAGAAGGTCGCAGAAGAAATGTGGTGGTTGCAACATTGGGATAGTCTGACGGCGGACGACCCGTTGCTAAATCCGGATGGACTACCTCGCTTGCGAGATGAAGTGCCTACTCCGGCTCAACTAGAAAGCGTCTCGACTCAACACGCGGCCGTGGGCTGGATGATGCAAACTGGCTCTTCGAAGGACCAGCCATATTCGACCCCTCAACTCTCTGCAAGGAACTACGTTCCTGATATAAGAGTGTCCTTCGACGGCCTGTGCATCTGTTTCGGTCCAGAGTCTGAGCGCAGCAGTCGCATGACCTTCGCGTCCCCCATGCTGGGCCTGTCGGCAGGGTTGACGCAAGGTCTGGCGAACTTTCTTCGCCCGGATGGCAAGCTGGTGGTCCCAAAGTCATCTCGTGCGCAAGCACAGGGAACGGAAAGCTCGTTGAGGAGGGATCAGACCCCACCAGTGTCTGGTCAGGCGCAAACGCACCTTCCTCAGCGTGAAGTCCTCACGGAGCGACCGCCACTCGCGACCAGGAGTACGGTGCGTCCGTCCACCGCAAAGTCCAGCGACGCTACGCCAACGCTGGAATCGTCAAAAAAGTTTGTGCTTGCCCCGCTTGACCAATCGGAGGGTGAGCGCATTTCTTTTGTGGATCCAGCGCACCTGCCGTTTCCGGCTTCAGTCTCTGAGGCGCAGCAGGACGCTCGACGCTCGGGGCATAGGAAGTCAAAGGGACCGCGCAGGCCGGCAGAATTGGCCAAGGATGCGATCCCTGCTCGAAGCGCTAGTCTGAGCAATCCGCCCAGCCCGAGCAACAGCCGCAGCGGAAGCGAGGCTGGAAGCTCGAGGACAACAAGCGATGCTAGCTACACGGTCAGCGAGTATAGCGCTAGATCGCTCGGTGTCGGCGAGCAATCTGTTGATAGCGTCAAAAGCGCCTCTACCTCTGCAAATTCCCCGCCCAAAAGAAAGGGATTCGCGGACCGAATTCGCAGCAGAGTGTCCAGTCTTGCCAGCGTACGGAGTCGTAGACAGAGCTCGAAATCCACCTCCGAGCACAACGACGGACAGCTGAGCGAGCACAGAAGAACAGAGAGCTTCTCCAAATAGAATCTCATCACGAAAGATCACCATTCATAGACAGACCGTCGTCATCTCAGCACTACTCTCGGCTCCCCTCATCTTTGGTAATCGATGTGCACATACCTTGAAACGTTGTGAAGAATCCCGACCGCGCACTTACCGACCGTCCGACCGTCTTGCAGGACTGTGCGTGTCTGCTTGCAAAGTCCGTGAAATTGTTCCGCTCGATTAGAGTTGTAACTTGATATGAAGCTTATGAAGCCCCTGTCGCATCAACGTCCGACCCAATTGTGGTTACGTGATTTCTGAGCGGAGCAGAAACCTTTGTTGCTCTCTGGCGGGCGAGAGCAGCATCATCATGCTGATCGTTCGCGCGTCATGTGGGAGTCGCGGCGGGCGAGCCAGACATCGCACATGTGAATCGACTGCGCGCGCGCGTCTGGGTGCTGCTGTGGAGTACAGGGTCTGCTGGTATTAATGGAAACGCGCGGATTCGTCTGGCCATGCTCACCTCCGCCATCCATCTCACGAATCAGTCTTCGTGCATCTTTCTCGTGCTCTGCCATGCTCGAATGTGCTCCTCGATTACTGTAGTGAGCACTACATTGGGCCTGGTCGTTAGATCGCCGATGCATGCACATTTCACGATCTCTATCACTCAGCATCCCCTCTTCCTCCGCATGCTGCAAAAACCGCATTCATTCTCATATTTTTCTCAACCTCGTGCAAGACACCGTCAGTAACATGTCGAGTCATTATCGTAGCATGGCTGTCAGACCCACAGGGCAAGCTTCAACAAGCGCTCAACCGGATTCAGCAGCACCCTCGGCTGTGGCTAGAAGACCCTTCCATCGGAGCATGACGGCACCTCTCAGCACCCGCATGGGTGCGCTCAGACATCCTGGGAGCAGCGGCATTGCTGCATCAAAGGTTGGCAGTGGTCAGCAAGTGGATGGTGGTCTCGTCACTGCTCAGTCCGAGGAGGAGCCTAGCGACCGAAGTATGAAGGATGGCACGTCAGAATCGCAGCCGGGTGAAAGTGTGTCACAAGAACATACCGACGCTGATACTCTGGTCAATGAGCAACTTCGAACGGCGAGCACCACGAAGAGCATGATTGCGGATCAGAGGCAGATGAATGGACGTGAATTGTCCACCGTCGTCGCAGATACGCTCCAGCTTCCGATCAGCACCTTGATGCAGATCATCCCGCCTCATCTCTTGGATCCGTCGCATGAAAGGCTCAGTGCGATGAGCTTGCAAATACCTGTCGCTAGCGTGGAAGCGCTCTTAGAATCCTTCAGAGTCCTCAACTGGATTTGCGGACGCATGAGCAACGCTGCATTTGGAGCTCAAAACCCTACGGTTGCTGTGCAGCCTTCTCAGCTCGCATCAGGGCAGGTGGAAAAGGAGGCTGGAGGGGGCGAAGCAGCCGAAACTCTCGACGCAGGCGACCAAAGTATACAATCTTGTCCCAGCTCGGAGTCACGTCCGGGTCCAAGTCAAGTTGCTGCTAAACGCGACCGATCAGCGCCACGACGACGGATGATGCAAAACTCCAGCAGTCAGTCATTGGAGCCGATCGAGTCTCTAGGCATGGACGTAGAGGCGGACTTCGATTTATTGGAATTATCTCAGCGCGTGGCGGACGTTGTATCAGGTCAAGCAGCGGAGAAAGGGATACAGCTGGTCCTCACGGAAGCGGGGAGCGAGCTGAGAGCACCAGAAGGTGACAAACTCAAAGCTGCTTATAGTGTGCGAGGCGACGAAGGCGCCACGAGGTTCGCGGTTATGCAGGTAAGTGGTGATGGATTCAATCATTGCTGAATACTCTTCCCACTGCTGACTCGTTTGTCGTCACCTTGGCTAGCTACTAGCCCGAGTCATAGATGCGTCATCTCCAAGAACAGTCGTAGAATGTGGCCCGCTGGTCGATCGGGCAGTCACCTCCGACCAGGATGATGCTAACGCGAACACCGCACAACATCAGCTCGAATGTACGTATGCGGTCTCGCTACACGGTGACCAAAATTTGTCCAGAGACTGCAAGATAGTGCTGGACGATGCGACTACCCAGCTGCTCCGATCGGTAGGCGCAGAAATCCTCCTCGATCACCCCTCGTCTTCCGAGCGCGAGACAACAGGGAGGTCAAGGTGGATCCTGAAGCTGCCTTTGAGGCCCGGTTCACCACTTTTGGAAGCAAAGCACAGAGAGCCAGCCGAAACAGAGGCGCGCCAGCGCTTTTTGCCAGCGCTGGAGCTTGCGGAGGAGCCGTCTGCTGCTGACCTGGAGGAGTTTGCTCAGAAGGAGCTGCGAGGCAGAAAGATTGCGCTTCACGCATCGCACACCAGCAGATTCGCGCAGCTTCTTTCCGCACAGCTGGGAGCGCTGGGCTGCGAAACTGCGCACTTGCCTCTTGAAGGCGACGCTGGGAATTGGGAAGAGACGAGGTCGTGGACTGGGACAGGTGCCGAGGACGAGAGTAGCTTGCCAAGAACGGCGATCGCCCTATCTAGAGACAATAGGCCCAGCTTGATTCACTATCCGAGCAATGTTGGCATGGGCGTGGAGCTCGCCAGAGGACCTCAACCGTCACATGATAGGTCGAACAGCGACGACACGGCTGTTTTGGATCCGGTCACCGGTGTGCCGGTGGTTTTGCACGCTAGCGCGATGATTCAGGCTCAACCGCAGAAGGCGACTGGGCACGCAAGCTCCGACCAAAAGCCTGGCTCTCCGCTAGCGTCGGGTAGTGGTGACGGCGAGAAGCGAGGTCAAGACTCGACTACTAAAGGTCCACTGCCGTTTAGCTTCGTGCTGATCGACGACGATATCGAGACGTTGCAGAGAGAGCTTCTTCGAATGCGCTCAGCAACGACCGTCTTGAGGTCCGCCCTGGGCCCATCGAAGTCGACCAGCAGCAAGCCTGCAAGCGTCCAGCGCGTAATGAATGACGGGCGCGTGACTTCTGACCACGCCGGATACGCACCCCAAACGTATGCAATCATTCATTTCACGAGCTTGAAGAAGTATCGCATCGTCCGGGACGCTATCCAACCTATCGTCGAATCAGCAGCTGCGCAAAGAGCACCCCTTCCAGAGGTCATCGTCATCCCGCAGCCTTTGGGCATTCGGAGACTACTGACGGCAATGCACACGGCTGTGCACAAGCCTTTGGTGGATCCCTTCTTCTCCGCGATCGCTACAAGTCCAATGTCACCCAGCACCGCACCAGCTCTGAAACAGGTGAACGGAAGCGCCCCAGCCTTGCCTTCGCCTGGTATTGTCGAGGTGCCTAGGATGCTTGATATTCAAGGAGCCGGCGACGCTGTGCCAGACTCGCACGGACGGTCAGAAGCCATCGATACTGCCTCTAAGCTCGGAGCAAGTGTCGGCCTGGCTGCAGGCGAACTTCGCACCCACGAAACGCGCGCGGCGGAACCAAAGGATGTTAGTCGACACCCCGCTCTGCATTTAGATATGCCACCCAGAGATCCGGCACTGGACCTCCTCGGAAGACAGAAGGCTTCAATCCCTCAGGAGGCCACCCGATCTCTCCCCGAGTCCGGAGACGGCGCAAGGAAGCCGTCAGCGCCGCGTCTTGCCAAGTCATCAGCAACGACCCCTTTAGCCGACTCCGTTCCAGGCAAACAGGGCATCTCGCGAGCAGTGCAAGCGGTGCCTGCTACAAACCATCTTGCACCAGGGCTTCCCTCCACAGCAAGCGCAATGTCTCATCACAGCGGCGGTAGCCCGTTGCCCTTGGACGCTTTGGGCTACTTCAGTGAGACGGCCTCGAGATTGGGTAGTCGAGGAGCGTCGGGCATGGTCATCCAAAGTCCTGATGGACGGCCTGCCGGCATTTTCTTTCAGCCAAGGACCAGCTCACAAGGGAACAGAACGCCCGCATCGACACGACGAGGCAGCGACAATAGCAATCAGCAGCGCTCGTCTGCAGATGCCGGCTCATCTCAGCGCACTGGGGAACACACGCGAAGGCAACAGCAGCACAGTGGTGAGCTCACACCAGCCACCCTGAAGAGTGCTCTAGACAATGAGTCCTCCAAGGCTGCCCGACGAGAACGAAAGACCTCAGCTACGGGAAGCGTCGAAAGCGTTGCAGGCCCTTCCTCTCCACGGAGCTGGAACTATCCTGCTGGCTCGCTCTTCGTACCGCAGGTTGGCATTGAAAGCATTTTGAGCGGAGGCAGGCCGCCACTTGCCACTCCTTTAGACGAAAGCGCACGCGCGAGCGGCGTGTGGGAGCCTAGCAGAGCGGAAACTGCTTCCCAGCATGGCACTGGACCATCTGCGTCAGCTAGTCCTTTGAGCCGAGTTCTTCCACCTCGAAGCACCCAGCAACCCTTGATATCCGCGCTGTCAAATGTGTCTCTCCCGAAAGCATCAGCAGCAGGGGCGCCCTCCACGATTGCCGAGAGCGCCAAAAGTACAGTGCCAGAACATCCTCACTCCCCCATTCAAAAGGAAGAGTTGGCGCCAGCTCCTCTCGGCGAAGCGGGAGATAGGATACCTGAGTCACCGGTCGCTGCGATAAATCCCATCAGTGCAGCTAGACACTCTTTCGCCGCGCCTCAAAGTCAAGAGTCCCGGCGGCCGAGCGCGCAACCGCAGTCTGGTCTTCTGATTGGTGCTGGTTTCGCACCCAAGGCGAAGAAGGGCACTGGACCTAAGCCTGCTCCGGTGCGCCAAAAAGTGCTGCCGCCTATCAAGGTGCTAATCGTAGAAGGTAAGTATGACGTAGTCGGACATCGACTCGCACTGCTGCTGACGCGTGTGCACCTGATTCACGACTCTGCAGACAATCCGATCAATCAGGCTATCTTGCAGAAGTTTATGAAACGCAAGCAGATTTCGTGGGAAGCTGCACGAGACGGACGGGAAGCGATCGACAAGTGGGCCAAGGGGGGCTTCCACTTGATCTTGGTACGTCTGTCCTGCAGAAATCAACTGGATTCCTAGCTGAAATTTTGGTCTCTCCCCTCAGATGGACATTCAGCTCCCCGTGATGGACGGAATCGAAGCAACCAAAGAGATCAGAAAATTGGAGCGCCTGGACAACGTCGGACTACCCTCTACGACACCACCCGCTAGCCAGATTACGACGGGCGTCAATGCTGAGGATGTCCAAGTCGCACCAGCAAAGCAAGCTAGCGAAGCCTTCAGCGTTCCAGCTACTCCATTCCGCGCCTCAGTGATCATCGTAGCCTTGACGGCATCAGTCCTTAACAGTGATCGAGTAGCTGCCCTTGCAGCAGGCTGCAACGACTTCCTCAACAAGCCAGTTGGTGAGTTGATCTCCAGAAGGTCATGCATCATGTCTTTGTCTTTGTGTGCTGATCACTGGCAATGCTCGTTGCTGGACAGACCTGAATTGGCTCGAGAGGAAGCTGTGGGAATGGGGCAGCATCCAGTACATTGTGCTCTCCGGACAGCTCTCAACGGCCGCAAGAAAGGCCAGCGCAGGCGGACGAGGCGCTCTGGAGGAGGCTCGCGGAAACAGAGAAGTGCAACGAGGCTTCGGATCGGGTCCAGATGCTCTGGCGAAGAAGATTGCCGATTCGTTGCACATTGTCCGGAAAAGCAGTCCTGCGCCAGCAGCGTCACCGAATGCCAGCGTCAAGAAGGCTGCGCCCAAGCCGGACTTATGAATGGAGCTCCCGCACCCCGCGCTTCCTCGCGACGCTCTTCACTGGACAGATCAGCTGCAGCTGCAGCTCAGTCTTCGCGATGCTCATCAATGTCGGACCGTCATCCATCACCTCCGTCTCAATATCTGGCTTTACCATCGCACTTCGGCACCTCTTGGGCTACCCCGACGCGCGCACTGATTGTTGCTCTGTCTCCTTCCGTCGAGGCTCACCTACGCGTCACAAAATGCACATGCTTTGAGCAAGCCAGCCAGTCATGTTCTTTCTATTTACGACCCGACTTTTGCGGGTGGGATGATTGCCTATTGATATGCTAAAAAGAAAATTGTGGATAAGTGTACATATGCTGACGGAGGATGCGATTTCTTGTACCAGAAGAGATGCCGGTAGATGAGATCCTCTGTTTGATTTGATTGCGAGGCTGACTGGGCTTTGGAGCATTTGAAACTGTGGGCTGTACAGGACGATTGCCAATGTTGCGCCTTTGAAGAAAATTCCGCTTTGCGATTGCTCATAGATACGAATGTACAGCGCCGTGTCATTCATTGTCGCTCACGGATGGAGTCGTCTTGAGAGTCTAGAGGCGAGTATTGGCGCCATGATGACTCGCCCAGCCTAGTGGGCACGCTGTAGTGCGCGTGTGCATGGAGAGCCGATACCATCAAGCGGTCTTCGTTGACGCAGCGCTCCGCCATCTTCGAAATGCCGCCATGGTGGTCGTCCTCACTCGGAACAAGCGCATTTGCAGGTTCTTCTGCCACTGGGCCCAACTTTTGGCGAGCTCGAGTATTCATGGCATGCTTGCTAGGCATAGCTGCTGGCCAAGTGCTCGGAGGAGGCGTCGCGCTTGGTGGAGTCTGAGCTGAAGTTGAAGAGCTTGCAATACTTTCAGCGCTCGTTGAGGTACGTCGCAAGAAAATTGACTTGAGCCTTCTGGTCTTCGAGACCGGCGACGACGTAGCCTGCTTGTTGCGTTTCAGCTTCTTCATGACCGTATCGAGCGGCTGCTCCTCGTCGGCGAGCGCAACGCTGTCATCGACGTCGAAGGTGCGGTCGTCTGACTGGTCTGGATGGCACTGACCTGAATGACAATCGAAGACCGTCGCGTCAGTAGTGGCACGAGTCTTGAAAGCACCGACGCATGCTCACCTGCGTGCACATACCAGTTGGTAGGTGGAAATGTGGCGTCGAAAACGATCCACTGGCTGGATACGATGCCAGACATGAGGGATATGAGACGAGCGAAGCGTGACGAAGCCGCTATGCCACCTACCTGCAACAGTAGCATCTTCCTCGCATCTTCTTCTCTAATTCGGGCACACTGTGCAATTCGACAGGCTCGCGTACCGGACAGCCGGAGCGCGCCGCAATGCCATGCACTCTGTGAAAAGTGGGCCAGGCACCACACGTGAGCTGCTTGACCCAAGGCCGGTGGTCTGACGCTGAGCAACCTGCCACTCACCTAAGCATGTGATATCGCCAGCTAGTGAAGAAGTACAGCGTGTTTCAGCAGGGTATAGAGCACGTGTAGCTCAGCAAAGCCACTCACCTACTGTTTCGGAGATTGTGCCAGCTGCCTCCATTTTCGGCGGGGTCGCCTTGCCCGCCTTCGAGGGTGCAGAGCCCACACCAACCTTCTTTTGTTCCAGAATCGGCTTTGACGACGCTTTTGCGCCCAGCTCGTACCCAACGAGGGGTGTATAGATCCTCAGGAAAGCGAGGTTCCTGCGTTCGAGGCTTCATGATCAAGTTGTCGGGATCTTGTGGGGGCGGTGGCGACGGTAAGTTTGCAAAGATGGTGGGCACGGCTGACCAAGGAAAGCGCTTGCTAGGCGCTGGGAAGCGCTCGCTCGGCGGCGCCGTGTTCGGCGTTTCTTCATCAAAGAGATTCCATTCGGCGCTCGCTTGGTGCGATAGAGATCGGACATTTGGCTGCGGCTCATCCGGTTGTTCGGAGCTGACTGTGCGGCGCCCCACACGACTGGAGGCCGGTTCAGATATGGTTAGAGCGGGTCCATCACATTGGGTGGCCAAATGGTCCGAGGGGTTCGCAGAATGATAGGGAGGAAGATGATTATCTGGGTGACTCTCCTGGCTCCAGCAAGTCTCGTCCGATGAAATGGATGCCGCGTCGGTCTGAGTCCTATCACGAGATTGATTTATCGGGGCGGCTGGTCGGTGAGAGCTGCTCAAGAGGTCGACAAGTTCATCCACCCCGAAAGTACGCGCAAGCTCCGTTGCGCTCGATGGTGGAGCACCCGTCGAAGAATTGTATGGTGAAAGATCCGAACCGTGCCACACCAACACCTCGTCACCAGGAATGCTCGGATGGGGCACAACGCGGTAGTAGGACACGAGCTTGCCAGGTTCCGGGCGCTCCAGAGGACAAAGACGGTCAGCAGTACCTGTCGGACGTCGTTCGAAGAGCTCTGGAGGCAAAGGCGTGCCGGGTCGGTAGGGAGAAGCCGGACGATCATCTTGCATCGGATTGCCGAGATTGTCGAGATTGGATGCCACGTCATACTGGTGGCGCTGACGTGGCGACACTGGCGGAGCTTGGTGACCCGCGTGAGCTAAGGCATCGAGGCTTGGATGGTGAACGAATGATGCCAAAGGTCGTCCGGCTCGGGGACTAGTCTCCTGGACGGTGCCAGTCGGTGTGATGACACGAATGCGGGCCGGTGCGCGCCATGCAGTGGTAGATGCTTCAGTGGTGAAGTCCCCATCGATGGAAGGAGATGCTGTCGACTCCACAGACGGGCTGAATGGTGCAGACTGAGATGCGTCGAACGAGTATGCGTGAAGCTGATGCAGGTACCCGTCGTCTGGTGCGTCTTTCGATGACAAGGGGGTAGATGAATGAGGGCCGCGCTCGGTGTTGCTGACGTGATCAAAGTAGGTGGGAAAACTTTCGAAAGGCGTGGCACAGCAATCTTGCCATAAGCTGGAATAGTTTGGTGCTTGTAGTGGCGTTGCTTCGCCCGTGGATCGCACGTGCGAGGTCTTGATGCGATTCGTCTGTGAGTTGGTCGTTGAACGGCGATGCTCTTGCCCGGGCGGTGGAGGAAAGGGTACGCTGGCAGGCGTGTCGTCCGTAGAGGTTCGTGACGAAAGAGATTGCAGGGAGTAGATGTGGCGCAGGCGACCAATAGATCCCACGGGAGGCACCACTCGGCGTGTGTGCGACGATGATCCAGATCCTGATTCTGTGAACAAGGTCGTGTCTGAATCGGTCGATCGAACGGTCTTAGGGGGAGGTGCAGTCGTTAGCGGTACAAGCGAGGGTGATGATTCGTTGTGGGCGCGCGGCAGGGGCGGCTTGATCGACTTCCCTTCATGGTCCGCGTGACGGTGGCCATGTTGTCCAATCAAGTGACGACGACCTGAGCTCATGATGGCACTGATGAGGAAGACTGATGAGGAAGTGAAGTCAGTGACGAGTGCGCGCCCACACCGAGCAGCGTCTCGGACCCGGCGAAGCCGGGGTCGACCCTCGCTGAGGCGCGGCGATGGCGACAGAGGTGTTGATTTGAGAGTGGGTGTTGTCGATGGCGCGGCGACTGTATGGCGAAGGATTGGCTCAGCTGTTGAATGGCACTCACCACTGCCCAGCTGCTTTGTATCTGTCAGAGGAGATCGGTGATGATGAGCTGGCTCAGTGTGTTGAGAAGGGTCACGAAGACAGAAGCTGAGACTGGAGGGCAGCGCTATAAAAGGGCGAGCACGATCAGCGCGGTGACATCGCTGGTGGACGACCACTCCACTCAGCTCTGAGCTCCCGTGCGAAAGAGCAGACCCAATTTACACGACACGACGCGAGACCAAGAGCCGTTGGATTGACGCGCGCGCATACGCGCGCCCAATGCGGCTTCTGGGCATTTGAGAAGGATGAAGTAGGGACTCAAGTGCGCAAGAGCTGACCTACCTGTGACAGAACAACAACGCCTCGGATAACGTGGATTGTGGAGGCGAACGGTCGAGGCAGGACGATCGATAGTCGACTGCATTGAATGCAGCGAAGAGCCATAGATTGCGTAGGGTCGCGCTATGAACCCGCTGACTGTCTTTGGTTGAAGGCGTTGTACATGCTGAAAGCTTCGCTGCGAGTCGCCTGGTCTTGGTCTTGAGATATTGGCATCGTGCTGGCGAGATGGCCGCGGGGGCGATGACAAACGTCAGAACACAAGATCTTGTGGGAGAGTTATGATAGAGAAGCATTGGTGTGAAGTGTAGCAATCAGAATTTGTCGAGCAGACTCGATTTCCGAGGGTCGCTCGATGACGCCACGACGTTCGTCTCGTGCTCTGCACGAGTGAGGTTGGTACCTGAATGTGCCAAGATGCCGGGCGCTGCCATGGAGCCCGGCACGAGATCCTGCAGACGGCATGTACGCGTGAATTATGGTTGTGAGAGTCTGCCACCCTAGGATTCATCTTCGCCTCTTCGTCTTGCCGCCATTCTTGCTGCGAGCGCCGAATCCAGTAGGATTGTGAGACTTCCTGACCTTCATACCTCGGGCTTTGCGCCACGTCTCCCTCCCACTTTCCCTGGCTCCTCCCGTCGAGATACGTTCCGACGCTTCTGGCTTTGCGGATGTGCCAGCATCCGTTTCCATCGCTGAAGTGGATGCACACGAGAATGCAGCAAGCAAAGCGTTAGCAAAGCTTGTCTAGACACGGGGTAGGCGTGCGATGAGATACGGGATCCATCGGATTGCTTTCCTGGCGCGACGACACGAGCCACTCGAACAGAGAGCCTGCTCCAGACTGGTGCTGTAGACAGTCTGTGCATACAGCTACCTGCGCGACGCCCAAGCAATCCGGGTCTAACATGCCAAAAAGCTGCCAGTCGAGCGCTTCTGATGACACTGCAGCAGATTCGCGGCGTGGATGCTCACCCTGCGCAGCATTGCCCATTTCGCCCTCCTCTTGTTCTTCTGCATCCAGTTCACCATCTTTGTGAGCCTCTTTGGGCATATTCATGCGGGCTGCTAGCCTCTGTGCAATCGCGTTTGTCCTGGCTGCGTTTGTGATGGCGTAGTCAGAATTGGGATTCGTGCGCTTTGCCTGTCTGTGAGCCAGCTTGGCCCTTGACCGAAGTGACTTGGCCATCTTTACGACAAAGGCGCGTGCGAGTTTGTTCCTAATATGTTGGCAGGGCGGATGGCGATCCTCAGTAGCATACACGACTGGCAACACTTGAAGAGCTATATCGTGATGAGAGTCGTCAAGTTGGATGGATGGCCGATGCAGTTGGCATGGATGCCCCCTCTGGTCGCCGCTGCGTGAGCTGCGCTCGCAGCAAATTATTTCGACCTGACTGCGCAAAATCGCAGGAATTTCAAGATCACGTGATGAGTCTGAATCACGGATGGCTCACCATGCAGAATGCCTCACAGCCCCTGCTCACTTCGAGAGCGTCAGTCGAACAGTCGATGGTGCAAACCAGGAAGACAGCTTGGTTTGACAACCCTCGAGTAGAATTGCTCTTCATCAGCTGAGGCGTGGACTGCTGAGGACGAAGGGGAGCAAGCCAAAGGCCAAGGATGAGCGCCTGATGCCTGCATGCTGATGGGCGCGCTGTCAGTTGGCTCTTCGGCACGGGCCGGCCGACGATGTCCGCCCGGACGCGTCTGTTGCTGCATGCGGCCGGCGTCCATGCAAGGAAGGGCCGACCGCGCGAGCCCGGGAGAACCATCAGCAGCGTCGTGAGCTCGGGCCG